TACTCACGATTGGAAGTGTGTTCAACTCATCATTCAGCTCAGATGAAACGACGCACGGATTACCAGAAATTGTCCTACACTGCTTTATAAAGACAAGTTCAAATATGCAGTTTCAGTCACAGTCATGCCAGAATGCAGCTCAAAAACAATGTAGACTGACAGAACTTCACTGACCAGCAGTGACTAGCTTTTTCAACTGGTTTAATTACTAAGTCAACGTTATCCGAAGCGTAAACAATGTACACTCGAGCGATAGAAAAGTTTCAGTACTGGTAAAGATGGGTACTCTAAAACCAGATTATTGATCTAGTCCTGGTTTTGATAAATCATCATCTGCAATGTCTTTATTATGGGCACCTTGTTCTCGTTTGGTCCTTTTTCATAACTTGGAGGTTGTTGCCCTCTCGCATGATAGGGCTGTTCCCCTTATCCTTCGTTCTGGTGTTCATGAGTTCAGTTACGCACCTCTGTCACAAGCAGTTACTTGAACTCTTTTTTTCTCGTTTTAATTCTGACATTTGAAAGAAGTAGAGTGCACAACTGAGGGCAGGAATTTAACTTCATTCAAAGATTTAGTGAAACATTAGTTCAGATAGATATTCAAGAGAAATTTTGAACTTCCTGTAAATTAGTCAAGGTAGAATTTTGAGAAAAACAACAATTTGTCTAATTTGGGTTCTAAAGTCTTTCCCATTCAAGCCTTTGGTCAAAGGGAGACCTCTGGTCTGGTGGGTGGAAGGAATGTTGTTACTTCTTTCTGGGGGAGTCGGCTCTTACTGTGGTAAACATTAGTTTCATGGACATGTTGTCTGACTTCCAAAGACATCGGCATCTTTCCACCTCAACGTTCGATAAGCACGGCACAGGAGATTCGTTTTAACAACAGTGCCCTTCTTTTATAATTATTATTAAAATCAGCCTCGTTATGAATCTGGAATTCTTATTTGGCTGTTTCTGTTTGAGAACGCAAGACTCGATTCATAATAGGGACCACCTCCCCACGATCCTAGGGGTTTGGGCAGTTGTTTACGTCAAGCTTCTAATTCTTGCAGTAAATCTCCCACAGTTGGGTTAAGTATACTGTTATTGCTTCACTAATCTGCCCACTTAAATATGGGCTCTCCTCATCTTTTATCCCTTCATCATCATGCCCAACGCTCTAATTTATCTTGTGTTGTCAATTTTCGGATTACCGTAGCTACCTTTTCCACTTTACCGACTTTTTTTTGAAAAAAGATTAAATTAAAATTCCACAGCGTTTCATTATTCTGAACTACTCTCAAGGTTATATACTTACTTATATCCTAACTTTCATCATATTTATCTGGAAACTTTGAAGAAGCATTAAATTCTGAGCTTTCCATTCTAAGAATATATTTCTGGCCAGTCTCAACTTTAAGCATGGCGTATAAAAGAATCGACCCCTTTGTTTGAAAAAAATTTTGCCCTCGAAATTATAGGCTAAGTAGTAAAAAAAAGAAGTTTTTCTGAATAGTAAAAGTAAATCTGTTGTAGACCAAAACTTGCAAAAACAACTGGTACATTCCACGAACTAACAATTTGCATAGTAGAATCTTCGAGGAGCCCTAATACACTTTGAAGTTTCTAAGTGCAGATACAATATGCCATGTCACACAAAGTATCGGTTTGAAAACTACTTTCCAATGATTCTTAATTATTTAGCCATATCCATTGAGCCCCAGTTCTTGCATCGTCTCTGTTGGCACTAGCAGAAGCTAGGTGATGTATTTCTTGGAGACACATAGCTACGGCTACCATTATGGAACTAAGGACAAAGGTAAATTAAATTTAATATAAGAGTTAGAATTACAGTACGATATATTTCAGAATGCATGCAGCCATAGAATCTGGCGCATTGTGATACTGTAAGTCAAGATGTGAGAGTTTGGTCGTCAAACAGCTGGGATCGAGCCAGGCCACCCACGCGTGCAGTCTCTTTGTGGGGGTTCAACGCAGTACTGCACAACAGAGCTACTGTGTTAGCACCGGCCATGCCCACGTAGAGGAGAGGTTCACTTTACTACTAGCTAGGGATTGGCCTTTGGCGTCTTTTCTTTGTCTGTCGTTTTCACTTGTATTGTGTTTTTCGGACTTTTGACACTTTGGGTCTCCCGGGCTTGGTCTACAGTATTACCATTTACTGTACACTCTACGTAGAGGGCTGCACGTGTCACGGAAGGTTACGCAGTGACACACAGTACAACTGCTCGGTGGACCACACGACTGCGTCAATGCGTGTCCGGCGCATCTCGTCAACCAAATTCCGCACACATTTCCTTCGTGATGTTTTTTATATTACGGCTTTCGTACATTTTCGGTCCATGCAGTCGAAGCTTCCTCCTTGGTTTGTACACCAGGTTGCTAGTTATGTGAAAGTTATGGATACAATTCTGGCCTCACAAGGTATGTGCAACCCACAGTCAGAGAGGGCGAACGGCGAGGCCGACAAGGTCCCTCCCTCCCGTTGCAGGACTAAAGACGTGCTTTAACCGCAGTTGCCATTTTGGTCCAATACACGTTTGACAGCCCCAGAAACTGTATTCTCTGCTAGCAAACAGAAACTGTATTCTGGTTTGCTAGCCAAAGTGTCCAATACACGTTGGCACAAACTAAGAAGATTTTCACCCCGAGCAAGAATATGGAGAGAGAAACATCATCCGGAGACTATGAAGGACTTCAAATAAAAAGAAACTGTTGTTCTATAGTACCACATTAAGCAAGAAAACAAAACAGGCAAAGTCCGATTGCCACGTGATTAACCACGCATTTATATATCTAATGGGTTCTATTACGGTTTCTTTCAGACGCACATGTGAGTGGATTTCTGTCAACCAGTACAGCGTGATATATCAACTGCAATGGGTAATCAATCTCTCAGCACCATGAACCTAGCTGCTGAAGTTAATCCGATCACTAGGAAACTTGCGACCCCTGCAAAACCTGGTAAACCTCATCCGCGAGCTAATCTCAAATAGACTGAAAAGATAGAACAAATGGACTGAAGAAGATGGTACCTTCTTCACCAGCTTCTTCCACTCATGTTAACAGACCAAGCATTAACATAGTAAGAAGCATCTCAGAATGTGATTTGTTCGTTTGCTACGTTTGTACGTTTTGCAATCGGATGCAACACGTTGGCTAGCAAACCCAGATTACAGTTTCTCTGACAAATGTGTCAAAGCAAGAAATCTAAAACTAGAATGCAAAAAATGATTTATTTGATGAACTTTTATTTGGATGTTGCTGATTTACTGTACTTACTTCCAACCATGAATATGGATAGTAGTCAATTCCAACATGTTGTCATAACCTGAATTGCTTCTCCGAAACCAAGTGGGCATGGGCATGCTCGATCGAAGTCAAGTGTAAGGCTACTAACAATTACTCTGGTCCTTGTGATATCTACTCATTCCTTGCCATAACCAAAATACTGATCCCTTTTGCTGTGAATACGTTCCTACCAAAAATGCTCTCTGCGTATATCGAAGGAAGATAGAAATCAAGGAACAACAGCAACATGACCGGGGTTAGATCGTCCACTTGCCACTGTCAGATCTCGACTGAGTTAATATAGTAGCGCACTGCAGTTCCAAACTCAACTAAATCCATGTACGATACGCTGTACAAAAGACGGGGATTGCGGCCGGGCAAGTGCCGCCACAGTGCAAGTCAAAGAGTGCAGACAAGCGCTGACAGCCGTAACGGCACCGCCACCGGGATCGGACGGTCGGCCCCGGTCAGTCGAGGGTTCGTACCCCGCTGCCCGGTGCGGATTCCATGTATAGATTCATTCTCCAGCCGATGAAACCCAGCGAGCGGCCTCTGCGTTCCCCATTGGGTCCCGGAGTTTGACCTATGTTCGGCTGCTGTCAAAGTTAGCCCTTGTCATTCGACTTGTCTGCTGACGATATATATTGCGGGATTTTGCGTCATCTCTCACATGAAGTTACATTTGATTCGTTTCAAGAAAAAATAAAAAAAGTGAAATAATTCTACACTTGAGATGAATATTTTTTTTATGAGTTTTTATCAAATAAATTCTTGGATTTCATGGGATTATGCACTTATTTTTGGTGTTTTGAACGCGTGAGAAACACAAAGTAATTCACTCTTTCTACACTTGACATTAATATGTTATTAAATAAAATTTGATCAAATAAATGTTTAAACTTCATAAGGTTATGTAGTTAATTTTGGTTTTTAGAACGCGTGACATACACAAAGTAAATTACTCTTAGTACATGAAATAATTTTTTCTTAAATGAAGATTATTTCAACAACTGCTTTTGGAATTAAGCAACTCCTTTTGGTGTTCAGGTCACACGACGGTACATGGCAATATTCTACTATAAACAGGAATCCACCATCCCCCGTGTGAATTTTGTCCGCTTTATATCGCACCCACGAGTGCCGAGAAAATGGGAACTCGGTAAGGTCCTATCTCCACCGCTCAGCTGGCGGCCCATTGTCCACTTGCGGACAGAAAAATGATCGTCAGTGATCAGTGCGGCCCTAACATTAACCCAACCATGTACCCAGAAGTAACTACGTCGGAGTGATGTGAGCCGAGTTGAATAAAATAAACTGCGCCGTATGCAAATACTATCGAAGCTGTTAACTTCCTCGAAGCAGCTGAACTGCCAGAAGAACACGCTTCCAAGGAATATCATCCTCGAAATAAATTTATTAAAACAAGAGACGCCGGATCGAATAATGATCAGATCATATATTGCTACGCACATTGGACCTGTATAATACGACACACAGGGGGGGCCTCGGGTCAACGCTAAGTTGGGGATGGAACCTGTTGGCGAGGGCCAGCTAGTTTACGTTCCTCCCCCACCCACCTACAAAACCGCCAGGTGTCGAGATCCCGGCCTTCTGCCGGTAGAGCGACCAGTTGCGCTCGAGGAGAAAGAGAAAGAGGACGAGCTGAGGGGCCGAGGGGGACGACGGGCCATTTGGGGGACATTAGGGGGCGGGCTCGAGAATTGGACCGAAAGTCGGTAGAGTGTGCTCTGCGAGCTCGAGTGGAGAAAGAGAGAAGCAAGGTCCGCGAGGGGTCGAGGGCAGGAGGAGTGGAGGAGTGGAGGAGAGGAATTTGTTTCTTACCGGGACAGAATTGTGAGCGCCCACTTTTCCAGCCGGTGAGATCGCTGGAGCTGGAGCTGGAGCTGACATCGTTTGATGAATGGATTCTGCTCCGGCGCCTGCTCCTCGCCAGCAGCCGAAGAGAGAGAAGTTTCAGGCTTTCGGTACAACATCGACGGGCGACAAGAGCTTCGACAAGAAGAAGCATGACTTCTGGGACTCTGCGCTCCTTTCTCAGTCTGCTGCTGCTCAGCTGCCGGTGACGGACGCAGAGAGGGAGTCGCTGTTGCCTGCTGCAGGCGTTGGGAGGCAGAATTCTGAGGCCGTTGCTGCGATGGCTTCCCAGCGTGTGGCTGCGGTCAACGGTGGCATTGACGTCGAGATGGATCCCGGAGAGCGGCGATTGAATCAGCTCGGTTACAAACAAGAGCTCAAGCGAGAAATGGTGCGTTTGATGAATCGTCCTTTGAGGATTTTTTATGGCAGCGTGAACTTCATCTCTGGGTCTCGACTCAATCCTCAGATCCGAGTGCCATCGGTTGAGCATAATTTAAGCATCCGGATTACCTCAGAAAATCCAACGAATGGAGTCAGAATTTCCGATGATTTCTGACCACAACTGAGAGGAGAATTTCCTTCACGATTCACTTTGGAATCTTCCGAAAGCATATTGCTTCGCAGAAAATGGGTAGAGGAAGATCAGTCATGTCGAGGGATCACCTGAAAAATGTCCTGAACAGCTCATGTCGAGGAGATCATCCTTTGTGCACAGAATCATCTTCTCAAGTAGAGACGAGCAGTTTTTCCTTGACGGCATCCAACATCGTCACGAGCTGAATGAGCTCACGTGTGCTCACATCATGCAATCACAAAGCCTGCTGTTTTTCCTGCACTTTTCAGTGGATGAAGGATTGTGGTGGATCAACCTTCAGTTGAGAATCTTATGAAATCCTCTGCATGTAGAGTTTCTAGGCTTGACATCAACCCATGGCAGATTCAGAGATAGGCATCTTCAAGTGGATTTTGATATTATTTCGCCTGGAAAATACCCATGGCACAAATCTTCAGAACATAAGCTCAGGCGGAAGAAATTACTTGTCAAGTACTGTGAGAACTAGCGGCGAAGATATGAAGTATAAATGCAGGTGGATAGGCAGAGGAGGCCTGTGAATCACTGTCGGACTACGCTCAAACTCTGCACGGGTTCCTAATGTAATTTAATGACGAGTGTCAAAGTTCGATAGTGGAACTCGGAGACGGGAGTGCGTTGCAGACATAGGGGAAATTACTCATGCTCTGCACTTCGTGTGTGTTGCAGACACTCTTCAAATGTTTGGCCATCGCGTTCTCCACAATGACGCTGTTTACTGGAATCGTTCCTCTATATGGAAACAGTTTATCTTATGCCGGCCCAGTGGGGCTAGTGTGGGGTTGGGTCATAGTTTCATTCTTCACCTGGTTCGTCGGCCTTGCTATGGCTGAAATTTGTTCCTCTTTCCCGGTACGTTCAAAACACTCCTATGGGAGCATGCACCGGAGTTGAAATATATATGAGCTGCCTTGCATCGTTTTCCTGTTTGAAAGAAGAGTTTCATAAGGCTTATAAACTTATGTGGAGATGTTCCATCAGCGGACGCTAAAATGCAACATTCTACTCACTTTGTATGTTATGGTAACTGCAGACAACTGGGTCTTTGTACTTTTGGGCTGCTCATTTGGCAGGTCCAAAGTATGGACCTCTTGCGTCTTGGGTTTGTGCTTGGCTCGAAACCATCGGTTTGATTGCGGGAGTAGGGACTCAGGTATCGATCTCATACTGTCATGAGTTTTGTGCTAAATCTCCCACGTTTGTCATGAGAAGATGATTGTTGACATGATTAGTGTCGTTCCTGCTAGGGATAAGCAGTGGATCATGGTATGATTTGCGCTGTATGTAGCAGTGAGGGGTGATTTTAGCTCCTAGTAGTTTCAGATCAACCAGAAATTTGACTGCTGTTTGAGACTTTCAACTTTTGAGCAACTTGTTATGAACTATCCCGCGGAAGTCCAGCCGCTCAATGTGATCCGTGGGCTCACTGGGTCTTTTCACAGGCGTATGCAGGAGCACAAGTACTCCAGAATATTATACTCTTGGCCACCGGCACGAATAAAGATGGAGGGTATCTTGCACCGCGAGGAGTATTTCTTGGAATTTATCTTGGATTATGTTTGATATGGGCTGTGCTGAATACATTCGCACTCAACGTTATCGCTCTTATCGACGTTGTTTCTATCTACTGGCAGGTTTGCATTCCTCCATTTACTTGATTTGGCTATCTTATACTGAAAATGAAGAACGCGGATTTTGCACATTGTTGCTGGTATGGGGCCTAAGAAAGCTGGGTATGTTCTTAGGTTATGAATTTATGGGAGTTTTTGGGGTCAAATACTTCTCCATACTGGTTGAGGTGAAGATTGAATCTCCAGCTCTTGCGATAGCATCAAAGTAATATTTCGTAGAAGGCAGCTGTATTTTCACAGGTAGTCGGGAAGAGAAGAGTCAGGAGTCAGAGAATGGTACTAAGACAATGTATGTTTGTACCTAAACCTTATATTCGTAGGGAACTTACCTTGTCTCATTGCATCTCGAAATGTAGGGACTCACCGATTGATTCAATGTTAAACTCGTGCGGAAGTGTCATTTAGAAAGTTGAGCTGTCGTGCTTTGCAGGTTATAGGAGGTATTATCATAGTGATTATGGTGCCATTGGTTGCACCTACGACCCAATCAGCCGAATATGTCTTCACTCACTTCGAGAGGCCAGATGTCTCACTTGGTATTCCAACCAGTGCATACGCCATTGTACTTTCATTCTTGGTCAGTCAGTATTCACTGTACGGTTATGATGCGGCTGCCCATCTCACAGAAGAGACCAAAAACGCTGACAAAAATGGACCAATTGCCATACTATCCAGTATTGGTCTCATTACAGTGTTTGGATGGGCATTCATACTTGCTTTGACTTTCAGCATCCAGGTAACGGGCACTACCATATCCATTCATCATAATGCTATTGCCTGTTTTTCTCCTGCGATCTCTCGTTCTCATGTATTAGTAAGTCTTATGTATCATGGGATAGATCTTTAAACCCTTGTTATTCTTGTAATTGGACATAAGTGCAAGAAGTTAGAAAATTTAAGCATTCATGTAAGCAACTGATACCAACTCAGCACAACTTGGCTGCTCCAACTTGCAGGATCCAGCCTATCTTTTCGACACAACTAATGAGACTGCTGGGATGTTTGTTCCTGCCCAAATTCTTTATGATGCTTTCCATGGCCGATATGGTAGTGGCACTGGTGCTGTCATTCTCCTGTGTGTGATCTGGTTTTCTTTCTTCTTTGGAGGTCTGTCAATTACCACAAGCGCTGCCCGTGTGGTGAGTAATCGACCTTTGCGGACCAGCAATGGGTTTGTTCCTTTGTCTGACCATCTTCACCATTTAGAACATTGAACCGTCAGAATATGTGCAACAGGAATTTGCAAGCATTGCAGGTTTTGAAGATATCACACCCTGGTGAAATTGGGGCATGGACTGCTAGCTTTATTCTTCTCATCAGCGCTAATGTGAGCTTTTATTTTCTCAGGTATACGCACTCTCCCGTGATGGAGGAATCCCTGGTTCCAGAATATGGAAGAAATTGCACCCGGTGTACAAAGTGCCTGCTAATGCCGTATGGCTTTGCGCTTTCCTAGCAGGTCTATTAGGACTGCCTATATTAGGGATCAATGTGGTGTTTACTGCCATCACTTCAATCGCTACTATCGGATGGGTGGGTGGCTATGCAGTGCCTATCTTCTGTCGCATAATCATGCCAAGAGAAAACTTTCGCCCTGGTCCTTTCTATCTCGGAAAGGCAAGTCAAGGTGTATGCACAGTTGCTTTCTTATGGATCTGCTACACTTGTTGCGCGTTCTTGCTCCCCACTACCTACCCTGTAAGTTGGGGCAATTTCAACTATGCTCCTATTGCCCTCGGGGTAGTTCTCGGGCTAAATATGTTTTGGTGGATCATCAGCGCAAGGAAGTGGTTCAAAGGTCCGGTCAGAAACATCGAGATAGGCTATGAAACTGCTCCCAAGGCCGTGCCAGAGTAAGCTAGAGCATATTTTCATTTTTGGTGTAATCACTTCGATTATTTATCCAATTAATAGATTATTAGCCTTCAAATTGTATAGTAATTTTTTCCAGGAGGCGAGTTGCAGGTCAATATTCGTAGGTCAGATTTGGTGGAGTCCGGCCACCTTTAGGACGGTGATTCATTTAACATTAGAAGACATTCTAGGTGCTCTCCAGTGGGTTGAAGTAGAGTCTGCAGTTTGCAAGTTTGGTTACTACCAGTAGTCACTCGTGCAAATACTTGTAATGTTAAAATCAGTCGGAAGTGCATAACGATTTTTACAGCTCAATTTCTACTCATACTGTCTGACCACTTGTGAACACCCGCTCTTGCATTACATGTCTCATGTCTCACACCACGAGTGTGCTTGCACTGATGATTTAAACTGGGAGATGTGTATTGTGAACCCCGTACTCTAAAGTTTCGACTTTTGTGGAAACTTTTCGTTATACACTTTACTTTGGCAGCCCCTTTTGGTTTTTTTCCCCGCAAAAAGGATGGCAGGACTCCATCCAATCGTACACGGATGAAACCAGCGGGGCCTCAATGGCAATCGAATCATAATCGAACCTACCCTGGATCTCTGACAAAGACACTTTGCAATGATGAATCGGAAGGACGCCACATCATGACCTCATCGTTCCGATCATTCAAACGCCTCCTGTATCCTGGGGTCGCAGCAGTTCAGAGAAAGTTTGCGAGTGGTCTTCATTGTAGCCCGCCAACTTCCTGTACAGACCGAAGTTCGTGAAATGAAATTCCTGTAAGATTTCGATTTCCGAAGTATCGACCTCCTAAGTAGAAAGTAAAACTCGTTCATGCAAAACCCGGTGTAGAATCAAAAGGTTTGAACATCCTCATAAGATCTCAAGTGAGATCTAGATTTGGACTCTTATCAGTACATTATCTGTGAAGAGAATACATATTATATCAAGTATATTCGGATGACAACCCAAATTTAAAGCTCAGAACCCAAGGATACAGTTATGCAGATAGTGCAGTAGAATATCATACACTACATTACGCTCTGCAAACTTGAGATGTGGTACTCTTCGAAATATGTAAATCGACGTATTAAATCGAAATATATCTATGCGCTAACAATGACATACATTCCCTTGATAAGTTAGCAGAACATTTGAGGCGCTAAAAAAGTAACTTCAGAAAGAGATCTTCGAATTTGTAATTAACCAAGGTTTGAACGAGATGATGAAACAATTGACTCGCAGTGATCACAAGAACAAAACTCCAGCATCGGCGGTGCCGGACTTTGCTAACATTCATGTAATATATGAAGGTGGAGTCACTCAGTCTTCGTATATTTGGGGTCTGAAATCCCTTCTTGGGATCGGTAGATAAACCAGTAGATAGACCGCATTGCCCCGTTGCCTTGGGTACTTGGAAATTTATGACCTGGATGGGCCATCCAGGTCATTTCTGCTTTTTCTTAGGCCATCCAGGATGGCCTAAGAAAAAGCAGAAATAAAGAGGACGTGGCAAAATTGGAATAAATAGAATTGGGAATATGCCATCAAGTCTCACAAGCATACGCATTGAATAGATGAGACATCAGTGATGTCACATCACGCATATCATCAGAATTACTACACCAAACACATCCTAATATTGACATTACAATGTCTACACACAGCATAAGCACCCAATTTACATGTGGAATGCAACAAGTGGTAATCTTTGTGGAGATGAATATAAAGCAATAGGTAAAGTTGATCAAAGTAATTATACCCGTAAAGAAAGGAATCTCATATCCTTGTCAATTTGTGTACCACTCTAAAGTGTATGGACTTGACTGTCATGAAATACAAGATTTATGGTGGCATAGTTATTCGTGATTTATCTTCAATCTATCATAAGATGCACATGAAACAAGATGAGCTAGTCAAAGCTAGAGCGCAAAGACATCTAAAACTTGATGAATTAAAGCTAAATTGAATAAAGAGAGAGAGAGAGAGAGCAAAAAAAGTGCGGGAGGCCTTCAAAGAATGAACGAAATCTAGCAAGAGCTCTTTTAGATGAGAGGCCTGGGAAGACCGGGACGAAACAGTGAAGAATGCTACTGGATAGAGAGGAAATCTCCAAGACTTGGAACAAAGTATTATGCAGCTCAAGGATTCAGCAACTGCAACGAACGCATCGTCAGCGGGCATTAAGCAAGGAACAAGATGATCTGCTGAACAGATCAAACGATGCAGCTTCGGAGATACAGAAACTCAAAGACGAGCCATCAAAGCTATCACAATCTGAAGCTAGTCAAGCTTCTGCTCTGGAAGAAATCATAAAAGCTAGCGAAAAAGCATTGAGCGATTTGCGAGATTCAGAGCAGAAGCGGGCAAGCTCGGAGAAAAGACAAGAACATGAACGTATGGCAACTTCAAGAAGCACAAGTAGCAAGGCTTTCGGGTGCTCTTAAGACTTTACAGAGGAGAAAGTCATTCTGGAACGACTGTCGAATAACGCTTCTGCTGCGATGGAGAAACTTAGAGTTGGAAAGCATCCCATAAAGATGGCACTGCGCAATCAATCCAGGAACTGAATCAGCGAAAGAAAGACAAAGCACATTAAGAAGACAAACTGGGCGAAATAGAAGCTGAGAACGAAAAACTAATCCAGGAACAGCCGGAGGGTCGTATATAGCAGACCCCAATGGTCGTCATCCACTTTCTGTGAAGGTGAAATTGAATTAGACATTAAGAACGGGAGTTGGAACTCGTCCGCGGTTCGCCATCAGCAGAGTATTGAATTCATCACTCAACTGGCAGAATTTAGAATTTTGGATTTCGGTTCAGATTCAATAGTGTATGACATTCTTGCATCGTGTGACAAGTGAGATTGTTCTACACAGTTGGCATTTGTCATCACTTTGGTGGTCAATAGCACTAACAATCACTTCTGTTATGGCTTCTTTGAGCCAAAGCCAAAGGTATGTTTCCATTCGTACCTCCACACATTAGTGGAGAGTAGACATAGCAGCAATCAGTTAGTGCTAGTTACCAGCGTAATGAAGATAAGTTTAGATTCTTCTACCTCATTGCTTTTAGTTGGCCCATCAATCACGACTATCGGATCTAACTCCTTTCAGCCATGGACTGATTTACGAGCGAGTATAGTGGTTTGGCGATTAGACAACCGATCAAACTTGCAACGTTATGCCGGGGATCTTCGACGAGATTCTGAATCCATCGCCACCTTGCCTCTTCATAGCTGCCACACAAGGATTCAGACCGGAGTCTCTTTCCGAACATCAAGATAAATTGTCCTCGAAATTTGTTGTTTGGAAGATTTGTAATCTATTTCGTCGTGTACATCGGCTAAAATTGTTGGACTTTAGATCTCGCTGAGGATTGACACGTTCAGGCTAGTGGCTGTTAGCCAGCTTGTCCTCGATGGTGAAGACGAGGCTGCGAGCTGGAGAGTGAAGTAAGTGGTCGAAACTACGGCTGCCTTGGAAGTATTGATGCTCAGACATGGATGATTTCAAATGTTTCGAACTACTACTGAGAACCGGTTTTAGACTTTTTGCGCTCTATAAGATTTGACACATCATTGACATATTCCAAAATGCCATAGCGGAAGGAAATCAAAAATATAGATTTTCTCAAAAACTTAGAAGTTTTTGCTCTTTTTTTGTCTGACAGGGAAAAAAAACCGCAAAGAAAGAAACAGAAATGTTACTTGCAAAGCGAAATGAGCTGCTGAATATCTCAAGGGTCCAAAATCTTCAGGCGGACGCGAACTTTGTCTGGAATCAGCCAGAATATACTGGCATGCAATCCTCGTTCTGCATACGAGTCGTGATTAACAGATAATAGAATATACTCGAATCATGCAACTTACGTTTCTCACCCATCTCGCCATGCCGCAGTACAACAGATCTGTCCTATCGTCACCACGCGTGACTTAACACCGGAATGCAGTATTGAATTGAGACATTGCCTTGACATTCTTCTACTCAGAATCATATTTCCAGATAGAGGTGGCTGTAATGTACTTGCAACAACGACAACCGTGGCAAGTTATTCGATGTCCTTCTGACCAGTGCCTGGCTCCAAAACCGAAATTCGATTCACTCTCAGTACCTGGGGCTCGTATGGTCACCTCTGCTAATACACACACAGACCTGTCAACGGGCATCACGTTATCTGAAAATTTGATTCGACTCGGACTGGAATTGGAGTTTACAACCTCCTGCAATCCGGTGCGAGATATTTCTAACGCTAATTTATTACTGGATTCATCTGCAGCTGATAACTAATGAATCGAAAATATAACTCTCCAGAATACTGCAACACACGTTCATTGAAGCCCATATGGAAGACCATATGACCTCTTTCATGTACGTAACTGGCTATTTATCCTTAACTATTAAAGTTTCTTGCTCAGAGTGGAATTCAACCGTTCACTCTGTAGCTGTGAGGAGTGGAAGCCAGCCATTTCATATTGAGCTTCAGTGCTCTTGAAAAATATACAGGAGCAGAGCAACACAAGCACAATTCTTCATTATTGCGTATGATAGCAGTGGAGACAAATTTCCCTCGGAAGATGTGGGTGAGAAAAATCTACTTCCTGCCCAAAATGAAGCCATGTTTCATCGTATCCAGCATGAGAGTGTTGCAAGTGCATGTGGTAAGCTCATTTCCTCTCACATGGAAGGCCACATGCAAACACTTTTTATCTCATCCTCGAACCCCTTGAACCCATGTGAGATCTGTCTCACCTGGTTTCAAATAAATTACGCTATCATTTGACAAAACCACGCGTGACATACCATTGGTTCTCATAGCAATTCTTTCTTCAATGAAATCACTTGTTGCTTTATGTACATAGTTATTGTTTATGTTTGAAAGCTTCATCATGCCTTAAGATGACTAAATTTTGTGAAGTTCCTAAATTTGGAACTTCACAAAATTCTTGGACAAAATTTGTTTAGTCTACTATTTTTTTTTTTATATAAAACTTTAAAGAATGTCAGTTATCATACTTCTTTATAAGAAAAGCTGATGCAAAGTTTTTAACACATATGCAAATTTTAGTTGAAAAAATCGCTAGCATCATTGTAGTGGACACCTTGCTTTTAAATTCCTGAGAATCGACATCTTGGATTCTATTGTATGCAGTCAAAGATAGTATACGGACGAGAATTAGTGGTATACACCATACTTTACTGCGAGGGTATATGATCATAGTGGAGTTGAAGTGGGAATATGAATGACTTCTTGAGATATCATTGTGAAATTTATTTGGGATTTAACGCGCCCCCTCCGGCCT